ATAAATAATTTATCTCCTTCATTTTGATACAAATCTTGGAAAAAGGGGAATATTTTTTTGGCTTCGATTTCGATGTCATTTTAAGAATTGCAAAGACACGTATCCTATAAATTTTTATACTTTTCCGATGAAAATTGGTGCCATCAAAAAAAATTTTTGAGTTATAGATTTTTTGTCATGGATTTTTTCATGGTTTTGGTGACATCGATTTTGATTTTATTTTAAAAATTGCAAAGACACGTATCTCATAATTTTTTATGATTTTTTGATCAAAATTGGTCTTATTAAAAATGAATTAATAGTTTTTTAGTTATAGATTTTTTGTTATCTTTAATAAAAAAAATGTATATCTGCAAGTTTTATAAATATAAAAATAAAGGTATTTTTTATCATTTTTTATGTTGTTTTTAACGTATAAGGTCGTTTTAGAAAATTTCAATCAGAAACATATGAGAATTAAAATACACCTTCATAGGGTGTCAACTTCGAAGGTGATTTTTACCCCTTCAAAACGTTTTTCTGCCGAAAACAAAGGGGTTTCCTTGTAAGTATGCACTTTTTTTAGTTGAAAAAAGATTTTGATCGAATTTATCAAGATAAACATGGAATTTTTTTAACATTGTGGCCACAAATCTCGAGCTGCCTAATAATTTTCATGCATGGTATAAGAAAACCGTAAGATAAAAATTTTCTAATCTTATCTACCAATTGTCTACGTTCACAGAGTGTAAGTTAACGAATTAATCTATTTTGAGTCTGTGTCGAAATTGGATTTATAATCGAAATTTATTCATTTCTTTTTAAAAAATTGGAAAAATTTACAATGATTTTTTTTTCAAAATTTTTCAGGTCGAAGGAATTCATTGGCGTTTGGAGAGGAAGCTGTGGTATACACTGTGAAATTAAACCAAATTTCTTTATTATACAATGTTTAATTTAAAATTATAAAATGGAATTTTATACAATATTAAATAAATAAAATTATTTAATAATAATTTAAATTTGTATATTTATTTATGTCAACAGATGAAATTTATAATTATTAATTCAAATTTTAGATACGTAACTTCAAATAAATTCCGTTCAATTAATATAAAATTTTCATCAAATAAAGATAGATTTTATGCATGATATTTACAAATATCATATTTAAAGTTGATAGTGATGAAACATTAGACAGTAATGTTTTTTTTACTGTTATCTTTAAAAATTACATTGTGACTACGTAATAATTGATAGTTAGGGCAGTGATTTTATGTACTATTAACTCGTTCATATTGAAAGATTTATCAATTCGCGTTGAAATAATTACCGCATATTTCGGAGATGTAATTATTACAATTTATAAACGAAGCGACACCGTGCTACGTTACGTTGTAAAATTTGATCGAGTATACTGGTAGAAGTTACAATGCCCTTTTTCCGTGTAAAAGCGAGTTTATCACAAATTTATGACATTTGTTTCAATACTGTTTTACGGGAACCGAAAATTGTTGCTTGAGTTAATTTATTTTAATTATTTAGAGCCAAAAAGTCGATAACAGATGAGCTATGACGTAGGATGTGGTCAGGAGAGGTGCACATACACAAAAGACACTTTTATTGAGCTTTATTGTACTTTTACTATAAAAATAAATTATTATTCACGTTAACAATGAATCATGAACACTAGTAGAACTTAGCAGAGCTTTGAGCAATGATTTAATGAGGAAATAGAATGAGCGGTAGAAAGAGCACGTGTACGAGAACGTCGCGTGAGCGTTAATGGCTACAAACACGTTGTAGCCGGCGTCGATAGACCTAGCACAACAGTAGGACAACTATTATTGGCTAGGTTTGAGAAGACGAGCTGTAATTAGTTGAGCGCTGAAAGATTATTTCATTATTATGTAAAGGAGTTATACGCATTACGAAAAAGAAGTCGCAAGAATCTGCTAGTACAGTAGTATAGATATAAATTTTTGTTGTCTGTCTGTACGACAGTTAGTGGCCACTTTTTCTGACATAAGCTGTTTATAACACAATTCCATTAAACAGTTTCATTATAACATTTTTTTATCCAATTCAACCGTAGGACAATAGTAATTAAATTTTCGATTTTTTTTGTGTGTACTTTTTCCCGATACAAGAATAATTATTTATGGCTACTTTAATTATTATCTGTAATTGTTCATAATCACAGTCAATTAATTTTAAATATTTTTTACATATTTTATCTACTACTTAGCTGTGTTTGTTGTTCGTAGATTTTCAAATAAAGTTTATAATATACTAACACACGTAACTCCGTAAATGATAAATTTTCATTTTTTAATCCTCTCTATTTTATTAACAAGTGATGATCGACGGCTGGAATAATTTTTTTCGCGTTCAGTAGACAATTTTTTATCACCCCCTATAACCCCAAATCGATAGGGGCCGCGGGATAAACTTTAAATTATTACCGAATTTTGCTAACGCAAAATTTTTTTTTCTACTGAAAATGAATTACTAACCACATAATCCAAATATCAAAGGCTTGTCTCCATTCATAGCAATTGAATTTGTCATAAATAATTGAAATCGGGAATCACACGACATATTCGAGTTCTTCTAACTGGAAATTTTTTCTTTCACTGGAAAACGATTACCTACCATATTTTATGAACATGAAAAGACTCGCTTCGTTTATATTGTGACGTTATTTTTCGGATAACGTCCCACTGATGATTATAAGTAATATTTTAATAAATAATTGGAGGCCGCAATAGCCCATTTAGTTTATTCTAGCTAATTTTTACCTATTGTTATATATTTTTGGGCTCTCAGGAGCTATTTAAATGATGGTTACGGTAATTGTTGAAAAGAGCAGTCTAGTTTTTGAACTAACAGAGCAAGCAGTCGAATTTTGGAGTATCAAGAGTCACGAATAAAATTGTTAGAGATTGGCATTGCTAAGCGAGTCAAGATGGAAAACAAAGTGCAGTTAATATCATGGAGGTATGGCAGTTTGATTTATTTTGGTAGTTCAATAACGTTTGAATTAATATAATAAAAGATAGTTAATCTTTAATCCTTGAATTGCTCTCGTGATTTGGTTTAGTTATTAGGAGTAGTTTAGAATACAATAGTTAACATGAGAGAATATTGATGATTTTGCTTCGGATTTTAGTCAATCGTATAGTAATATTATTGTATTTGTTCTTTGAATATGTTAGAAATCTTATTAAAAGAATATTATTAATCATGGAAGATTTAGTTAACTGAAGAAATTGTGAAACGTTTCAGAACATAAATTAAAGTCATTTAATTGTAACCATTTTTTAGTTGGTTAATGCAAAATTGCTACAGAATGATTTATTTTTGGTATAATAAATTTATATTTAATTGATATTCGTTATTTATTAATTTACATAATGAGGGACTGTCAACAACCTCATCTTATTGGTCGCATTAAGTAATTTCACGGGGTACAACGGATAAATTTTTTTACCAGAGCAACTTTAAGTTGTCAATATCCACTTTTTAAATCGATAGTCGTAAACCATTGAGCACCGACAACCATACTCAAAATATCTTCTTGATAAGGAATTGGAGTAGAATTCTTAACTGTGATATCATTTAACTTTCGGCACTCAACACAAAATCGGATCTCATCACCTTTTTTAGGAACAAGAAGAACAGGAAGACCAAGGACCATGAGAAGGTTCAATTGCATCCTGTTCTTTCATTTCTATCATAATAGTATCAACTTTTTCCCTATTATATAAAGAAATACGACGAGGAACTTGTAAAATGTTGTTAAATTTTACACTTCCTAATATCGAAAGAATTTTTCGAACATTTTTTTATATTTTCATTCATAAAATTTCGAATATTTATTTATATTTTTCAATAATAGTTGTTTGAAACGTAAAACATTTTTCGCATCTAATAACTTCGAAGATCTTTGAAACAAATCAAAAATAAATTAAAGAAGATCATTTAAATCAAAAGAAATTTTATTAATTGAAACAACTTTACCATTAGTGAGAAATTTTTTATGAAAAATTACCATGAGCTCTCTGTAGCGTTCCTGTTTACTTTCTTCTTTTGTACGTATATCTGTCTCAGCCGGGGCTAAGAACTCAATATAATATACGCACTTGGTGGTATGGTCGAAAAGAGTAATATCCAGCTTATTGTGTTCAATACGTTTGGGCGTAGAGAGCGGGTAATTCCAAAGAATTTTTGCTCTCCCATTCTTAACGACATTTTCACCGGGCATATAGGGCAGCACTGGTGTCGCGTCTATTCCATAACAGTGCCGAAGATGGTAATACAGCACTCTTAGGGCGGCGTTATGCCGGTGAATGTAGGCTGAGCGCGCTAATATCGGACAAGCCGATAAAACATGATATAGCGTCTCATCTATATCACCGTGGCAAACTCGGCATTTTGTGTCCTCGAGTTGCATAACATCACGTCGGTAGGTGAGGGTGAAAAATACACCATCTTGGCAGGCCATAATGAATCCTTCGGTCACAGAGAACAAGCCAGCTGACTTAAGGTATTGGAATGTCAGCTGGTGTGACAAGTCCTGTGTTTCAAGATGACAGTAGAACACACCATGTAAGGACTTTGCCACATGTTTGTCGAGCAGTTTTAACCGCTCGGTTGTTTTTATATCGTCCTTTCGATGCCCTCTGGTCAATTTTGCATCCCTTCCCAATAGTTCAAAGCTGTTCACAAACTTGAGAAGAGGATCAGAGCTCCCATAGACGTCATAAGCCAGGTCTATCACTAACCTGTCATATAGACACTCCAAACTTAGTAGTCCACGCCCTCCCAGATGACGGGGAAAGTATATAACCAGAAGGAGAATTATGAGCCTCATGAATTATTCCCTGCACTTTAGCTCGAGGAATGACAACCTGAAAAATAATATGAGAAAGATTTGGAGCTTCCTAACGTTTAACTAAAACACCATCTTTCAATTCTGAAGAATTCCAATAAAGTAAATAAATTGTAAAAGTAGAATCCTAATGTGGAACATCATTAAACTCGGGAACTTTATTTTCCTTTTTGAATTTAATAATTAAACTCAAAATGTTATCATCATTTTGAAATTTGATCCAATCAGAATCATTATTAATTTTACAAATGACACGGAAAATATGCCTACTATCACATTTTTCATCAGAATTTACTTTGAAACATTTTTTACAATCGCATGGACGCCAAGAAAGACCATCAGCATTGCCATGTTTATGACCAGGTCTATGTTGAACTTCGAAATCATATTGAAATAAGATTTCAAACCAACGAGCTATTTGATCTTGGGGATTTTTGAAAGAAAGTAACCAAGTGAGAGAGGCATGATCAGTTCTAATAGTGAACCTCTTGCTAAGAAGGAAATGACGGAAATGTTCAACAGAAATAACAACAGCTAATAATTCTTTCCTAGTAACACAATAGTTACGTTCACGATTCTTTAGAGTCTTACTAAAGTAAGCAATAACTTTTCTTTCATAAACAGTCTCATCATTTCTATTAACTGGAATCTTCTGAGATAACACAGCACCAATGCCAATATTCGAAGCATCAGTATCAAGAATGAAAGGATAATTTGGATCAGGATAACCCAAAATTGGAGTAGAAGTCAAAATTTGTTTCAATTTTTGCAACGCTTGAAAAGCTAAATCATCTTAAATAAAATCTATCTTTTCCTGACTAATAAGATATAAAGGTTTTGCAATAGTAGCAAAATCTTTAACGAATTTCCTATGATAAGAACAAAGACCTGGAAAACATTTAAGTTCAGATTTATTTTTAGGAATAGGCCAATTAATAATAACAGAAATTTTATCTGGAGAACTTTTGAGTCCTTCGCCAGAAACTACATGTCTAAGGAAAATAACTTCTTTTCGAGAAAATATACATTTCTTAGGATTTAACTTTAGAGAAGCTTGTCAAAGTCTTTCAAAAACATTTTGAAGATGAATAAAATGTTCATTTAGACTTTTACTCAAGATAATAATATCATCCAAATAAACTAAACAAATTTTACCGAGAAGACCTTCTAAAACTATGTTCATAAGTTTAACGAAGGTGGCAGGAGTATTACACAAACCAAAAGGAAGAACCTGAAATTGCCAAACCTCATTCCAAATACAAAAATCAGTTTTAGATCTATCCTCAACTTCAACTTGCCAATGTCTACTTTTTAAATCAACGGTAGAAAACCATTGAGTACTAAGAACCATATTCAATATATCTTCTTGATATGGAATTTCATCACCTTTTTTTGGAACAAGAACAACAGGAGAAGCCCAAGGACCATTACATGGTTCTATTGCATTCTGTTGATTCATTTCCTCCATAATTGAATCAACCTTATCCCTATAATAAAAAGGAATACGACAAGGAGCCTGTTTAATAGGAAGTGCATTTCCAACATTAACTTAATGTTGTAAAATTTTGCATTTTTCTACATTAACCTTAATATTGGAAATATTTATTTCTACAGTCTCGATAAAATCAAAATCAAATTTATCACCTGAAACTGGAAAAATAGAATAAGAAATAGAAGAATTATTCGAAACAGTTACCATTCCTTTAAACAAAGAAGAATTAATAACCGTATTATCAGCAGCAGTATCAACTGTCATAATACATTTTTTGCCATTAACTTCTCCTCTAAGTAAAAGTTTCGGTTTAGAACTAGAAAAATAAGAAAAATCAATTGAATTAATTTTTAGTTTTGACGAAATTTTTTTTGGATGAACTTTCACCAGTAGACTCATTAGAATTATGAATACTTGATAAACTACTTTGAACAGCTTGAAGAACTTGACAATTCTTCTTAGAATGTCCTAAAATTTCCTTTGAACGAATTATTTTTATTATCTTTTTTAAAATAATTTCTAAAATTATTATTTTTATTGAAATTATTATTTTCATCTTGCGATTCGTCAAAGGTGTCTGGCCAGGGATCCCAGGGCTCCGACCCACCTGGGGCCTGACCAGACGGGATTATCCTGCAGACACCCTACTCCTTCAGGTTTGAGTGTGAGCCGGGGCTGCAGCCGTTCAGTCATTTATTTACAACCGTCTCAGGATTCGGAGAGATTATTATTATTATTGTTACTATTATTATTGTTATTATCAATTGGATTTCTTATCTCTCTAAATAAATCTTGAGTTTCTCTTTGACCTTCCTCGAAACGTTCCTCCAAACGAATCTGATCTCGATTTAGTTTTTCTTCCAAACGATTTCATCTCATCTCTAAAACTAGAAGTCCTCCATTGGTACCGTCTTCGACACAGTCGGCATATTGAGTTCTCCTTCCAGCTCGAGTTTGACTCCGACTTGGACTCTTTGGCATGATTTTTTAAATATTCTTCTAAAAATCACCAACAAAAATATTCACGGCACGCGAAACGAATTACTTTCTGACACCAATGTAAAATAAGAACAAATAACAACTTTGGAAAATTAATAAACAAAGGAAAAAGTTTATTGAAGAATGACAGAAATTAATTAAAATCAAAGAATCCGTGCGATCAACTCAAGTCTCAGTCAAAAACTAGAGATAAACAAACTCTCCCCTTGTTGCTATAAACAATCAAATCGTCAAGCAATTGTCGTTAACTAATAAATTGTCGTTAGTCTAATAATCATTAGATGGCGACATACAAATATTTTACAATATGATCATCTTTAACATCTTTGGTTCCGAAACATAATTTATCAACTAAACTTTAATTTTAATTTTGTTTCCTAGCTTGGAAACAACTGAAATAAGCTCTAGAAAATTGAGCTTCACCAAAACGATTTTCTAAAAATTTAGACAATACACTAAAATTTCTTCAATCATCTATGCTCAAATTTTGTAAAATTTTTTGAGCTTTGGCCTTCAAACAGGACACTGAAATTAAAGCTTTAACTTTACTCGACCAATTATGTAATCGAGTGATGGTCTCAGGTTGACGTGAGTAAGATTCTCACGTCTGAGAACCATCATATTTTGCCGGTTTCGAATTTCTAACGGAAAACGATGAGTACGATTTAATTGAATTAGAATTTAAATTAGTAGAAATATTAGGATTAATAATTTCCGGAGAATTGTTTTGAATTGATTCTACATTAATTAAATTATTATTATTTGAATTTTGAACATTATTATTATTGTCAGAATTACTATTATGAGAAAAATAATCATATCTCTCCAATGAAATTTTAAAGTGAGCAATCCATTTCTCGTTTATTTTCAGATTATTTGTTCCTCTAATCTGTTTTCAACTTCTTTAAAAATCACAATATACATATACAATATGTATGCATGCAATATATACACAATATACAGTATACTAAAATATTTCGTCACGTGAGATGAATCACTTCTGACACCAAATGTAAAATATAGAATTAAAAGAACAGATATTAAGAAAGAATGTTTATTGAAATGACAGATTTAAATGCAGAATCGAAGATATGACGTCTAATCTGTGCAAGTCTCAGTCACAAACATAAATAAACAAACAGTCGCGCGTTGTTATCAACAAATTCTGTCGTTTGTCAATCCATCAATAGATGATCACATATATTTTACAATCTATATTCTTGTTCAGTGTAATTTTATCTACAACACACTAAAATTTGAACAAATTCGGTGGAGCCGTTTTTTTTTTTATAACAAAATAACTCATAACAAAATGGTAAGATTAGCTATTTAAAATACTTTTAAGTCAAACAATAACATTTTTATTTGAAAATTGAGTCGATACTGACTAGACATCATTGTTCACAAACAAATATGACTTTCAGCAATTACATATTGTTCACAACAATACAAATTTGTTATAAACAATTGAAAATTGTGTTTATCGATTACCTAATGCGTATATTACATGGAGTTTGTTGGATTCTCTGAATAAAAATGAATCTTATTTAGTTAATATTTTGTTTATTTTATTTTATAGCTTTTTAAATATTAAATTTATGGTTAAACTCAACGCTTAGTTATAAACATATTTTTAAAGAGAAGAACCAAGGCCCAATCCTGTTTTATGACTTCAGACACTTGGGTCATACAAAGGACTCTTTCTTTATTAAGTTTTTGGTACCCTATCTTCAGAGTATTGCACGTGTTTTATTTATTATAAACATCTGTAATGTTTAAACAAATAGAGAAGAGGCTTAGATCTCTCGGCCTGAATAATACTTGATTTTAAGGTCTTTAGTCAGTTCTGTACGACTATCTGTAATGTAAGGACGTTCTCTCTAAATGCAATCCGTGATGATAATAAAGAACTAAGTTATAAATTTTTAAATAGAAATTCAACTTGTACTTGATTTCACAAATACCTATCCTAACTTCCAATAGAGTTGGATGCTTTCGAAAAAATAATATTATTAATGATGGATTATGACTCTTAACAATCACGCATTGTTTATAACAATATGAATTTGTTATAAACAATTAAAAATTGTATTCATTGAATAAGTAATGTATATATCACATGCATTTGGATGTTTTCAACAAACATTGATTATCACTATTTGAATTTGTTATAAATAATTACTAATAGAAAGTTCGTCGTGTTAGCACAGACAAAGTGTGCTCAGACCTATTTTTTACTTTGAAATCAGTTAGATAGGCTAAACTATCCGATAGATTGAATGAAAAAATTAGCGACTGAGGAAGTCGATTGAATGATGACATCGTTCTGATTGGCTGGTTTGAAAATTCCGTTTTTTTTTATTTTTACATAATATCTAATGACATTTATTATTTATATTAATGACGCTTTTCGAGAAGCTTTTCCTCGTTTTATGTCAAATTCTTGCAAAAAGTCATAAGTTTCAATAGTACGAATGTAAAATGTTCGCTGGTATTTATCAGACGTCGTAAATATGAGATGAGTCATTATTTATCAAAAAATTGTTAGCTATTTTTTTATGGAAATGACTTTTCCATAGGTTAGTGAGGTTTTGAATGCCACGATTTACTTTCTTATTATATTGATGATCACCTTTGTAGTAGTTCCTATTATTCCACTTCCAATTTCTACCCTTTCCATGTCCATAAGGGTTGCAGCTTGTACTGCGTCGCCGCATCTCTGTTTCTTCGACAGTACGCAGTTTGCCATCAAGCGATCATGATATGGAATACGTGCGATTATTTTTACCATTTTATCTAGATTTGAGAAATGAAACTCGAGTTTATTATAACAGTAAGCTAGTTTTTAAAGTAACAGTGCATATACAACTAGATAAAAAAATATACTGACATCAATAAGTGAAGACACGGCTGTTGGTTTAAGTTATATTAATCTAACTGATTTTTTTCTGTGAATATCCCATCCAATACATAGCAAATAAGGTTTAAATGTTTAAAACAGTAGTTATTCAGCATTGTAATGTATCTTTCAAGACTTTTTTTGACTCTCTTCGAAAATTTTGAATGTTTCTCAAAATATCATAATAAATGACATAATATAAGAAGTAAAACAAATGCTATAGTTAGATCGTACGCTTCTGTCAACTAAACACAGAAAAAATATATTATTAAGTTAAATGATGTATGTTTATCAGTGGTTATATACATGTATTCATAAATACATATACACATAAATAGAAATGAATAGTAAGAGATAAACAGTATCAGTGATTCATGGTAGATTAAAAGTGTTGTCAATTTTGTGAGATCCAATGTTACTTTGTTTAAAAATGATTCTAAAAGTTTGAAATAAAATGCTGAATCCTATAATATTCTTGAAGATAATACAGCTATTTAGTTTCGTCATTGGAATTTTATCATCAAAAAATGAAAAAATAGGTAAGTTATTTAATAAGTAGAATTATAAAAACAAGTAAAAAGGATTGTGTTTAAAATTGTTTATCGTTATATGAAACATCTATGGATGAAATTTAGAAAACCTTTGTAATTATTGACGTTAAATAATATATTACCTACATTTATTATAGATAAATTTCCTTCATTATCACTCAAAAATGCTATTACAATATCTCAATCATGTAGCAGAGTAATGAAAAATGTTTGAAAAGATTTAGTTTTAATGATATTCATGACAAAAAAAAATTCACACTCTAAAATTCGTCCAATGCACATGTATCCTCTCATTACTATTTCTGAGGTAAATGTAGACATCGTCATGTAAATAGGATATGAAGAATGTCAAAATTAATATAAAAAGAAACTGAAGTTTACAAAAAAATGACTTTTTAACTTCATTCGTTTAAAAAAATCACTGATGAACTGACTATTAGTTGATGTCTTAGTTTGAAAGACTATCATTGAAAATATGCATATATTATTAAAGTAATTTTAATTACTTTTTTAAGTAAAACAGGGAAATTGTGGGAAATTATTACACACTGATAAATATTCAATGATTTTGCATTGTAGTAACGCAGCTTTTCAAATCAGTTATATTATTACTAATAATTTATTGTAGTTTTTGCAATTATTTTTACAAATAAATAATTAAAGAGTCAAAAAAGGGAATATAAAAATTATTATAGATAATTCTCTCAAATTATTTCGATACAATTTTTGTTACATACTATTGTTACCAAGACAATCTGAGGACCTAAAAATTACAACTTTCTCTAATAATTATTGATGAAATTCTTAAATTACATTCTTTTTTATTCGAATTCAGGATTCAATCAATAATTATTCTAAATTGAAAAATGTAAACGAACGTGTATATATCAAAGTTGTGATAATAATATTGGCAATCTAGACATTAGATGTCATACGCATAGCCCAGGAAAAACGGACAAGAAGTTTTTCACTCGAAAATCAATGTTCTCTGTTATTCTCGATGTGATATCACGATAATTGTTATGCATGAGTGTAATTTTATTTGTAATGCATCTTTCAATCGTCTCAATTATTTAATACATATTCGACATTGGTCTTGTACTCACATAAATGAAGTTTTCTTGAAATTAAAGTTCAATTATCAAGCGATTAACAATAAGCTTTTTTAATTCAGCAGCAGTAGTCGGTTGAAAAAAATCATTTGACATTAATTATAAAAATTATTATTTCTTTTTACCAAGAGAGCGAATCAGAAATATCTTGGATAAAATTTTCAATTCAAGTTGTTACAAACTTCATAACGTACACATCTTTTCATTAAAATTATCTTATAGAGTTTTTTCTTTTTTTCTTTTAAAAAGTTGATAAAACTGGTTTAACTTCTATGTATTTCTGAACTCCATTCTACAGGTAATTTTGATTTACAACTGTCGAAATAAATACAGAGAAATTCATTAATCTGCATGGCTGTTACCACTCACGATCAATAATCGATTATTAGTCCAAGATCATTATAAAAAGCCCTTATGCTGGTATGCATTTATTTTAAAAGGATTGAAAAATTTTTTGAAGACGGTTTCTCGTAGAGATTAACGAGAAGAGCATTTGTGCCAAATGGCATTGTTTGGAAATGATTTTTATTATTGTTTATTAACAATTGTAATTTGGCAAAAAAGTCCGCGAGAGCATATACTTACCTGTTACAGGTAAAAAGGTGCAGCGCACTGACTTTTTTGAGCGTTCCGGCGAAATGTGCTGTTGAGCCTTTTTAATTAATTAATAGAAAAAAAATATTGCTCATCGTCTGAAAAATTTAAAAAAATTACGGAATGTTCAGAACCGTTTTTTGAACATTTTTCCGTTGGATTTTTTCAAAAAACTTAATTTTTTCGATTTTCACGGTGTGGTGAACGTCTTTTTTTCTATTTTTTTCTGAACTTTGCGCATCTATATTATTAAACGATCTTTAAACGTTTTATTGCTATTTTAGGAGTGGATAGGATTTTTTCCGTTCTACGAAATAGCTATCTCAGTTTTTTGCAAAAAATTTTTTTTTTCCCCTTGAAGAAATCGAAAACATGTTTTTCATAACTTTCACCCCTATTTAAGGGCTGAAGATATTTTTATTTTGAAAATGTTCTTTGAAAAACTTTTTTAACTCCATCTGGAAAAGATGAATCAATTTTTGTCAAAATTTTTCCAGCAATGTTTATAAACAATTGCTGAAAAAAACTTTTTTATAATTTTTTTTTGATGAACATATCATCTGTAAATTCCTGTAATACATCCGATTTTTTAATTTTTTTGTCAACCCTATCGTAACCTTCATTTTCAAATTGTTTATAAAAAAAATATTATTAATTGATTTTATAAATTTTTAACTGAGCAGTTTCATATAATTTCAAGTGCTCTCCTCGATGACATTATTAAAAATTCATGAATTTTTTTTTTCATTGTTTCTTTAACATTTCTTATGTTATAAACAATTTAATTATGGGGATATATTTTCTTTGCAACGGATTAACACCCCGAGGAATTGTTGATACACGGTGATTTTCACAGAAAAATTTTTTTACCACTTAAAATACGTTATGAAATTTTATTTATTTATTTTCTCTATTTTTATACGTATTGTTATCAATTTATAATATTATAATTATTATAATTAAATATCTTGGAATTTTCTCTACAAAAATGTGTATTTTGGTTTTTTTTTATCCATTATTTGCAGAGTTATCCTGCTATCAATTTTTTATAGAATAATAAATTTTTTACAGTTTCACAGAAGGAGCGGAGTTTAGTCAAACATGTGTATGCTACGTTCGAGTCCACCTATGAATTTTTTATTCTATAATTATTACTATTGTTAATAAACAATAATAAAAATCATTTCCAAACAATGCCATTTGACACAAATGCTTCTCTCGTCAATCCCTACGAGAAACCTTCAAAAAATTTTTCAATCCTTCTCAAATTAATGCATAGGAAATTCACACTGCTCTTGGACTATGTGACTAGAAATGTAGAAATTAAAAAAATTAATGAATTCAATTCGACTAATAAATTTAAACCAATTTTATTTTATAACTATAATTCGTTATTGGTGTTTGATATTACTATGGTGCATTTATTTCCGTTAAGGAGTTTGACATATATAATGTTATTCGTAGAAAATAAACGTTAAATTATGTCTAATACATAATAGCGATTTATGATTGGTTTTTATTTTCGGACCCAAATCATATATTTCTGATTCTATTTGTTAGAAAACACCATATTTCTATCGAAAATTTATATAAGAAAACATGAAAACGCTATATCACTAGTCGAGGATAATTTTTATTTTATTCCGACCGCTATGCATTTTTGCTCCTTAAAGGTATCAATACGTGAAACATATGCTTAACCTTAGAGACTCTGAGTTAATCTTGTTTAGTCCTAGCCTTTCGACCGATAGACGGAGATGAGGAAATCTTCGATAAAGAAAGTGAGAATGTGTGATTTGTATAAAAACAATAACAAAATTTATTAAATGAAAATTATTGAAAAATTATAATAACCATTCAAACGTTCCCAACAGATGATTTCTTTTACTCGAGTCAAAATGAATAACAATTGATTGGTTCTTAGTCGATGCACCAGTCAGCACAGTATTTACTTTTACTCATGAATAAATTTAAATATCAATTGGAAATAATTTGATGATCAAATAAACTTCATACAAAAATTTACAAACTTTGAAACATACAAAGAAATATACAATGTTTAAGACAAATAAGACTTACGATTTTAAGAGACGTTTCACGACGATCTGATCTCAATCTTACTCTGTCGACCACCATCAAAAATTATTCTTTATTTATCAGTGATGGGATACGGCTGCAATGGAATTTTATCTTCCTAATCACTATCAAGCTGTCATTTTCATCAGTATCATAATTAAATAACTCAAGCACGTTCCGAAATTTAGAAGTAAAAATGTTTCTATTTGATAGTAAATTTCGGGTTCTCGTAAGTAAACTTGAGACTTAAAAGGTGTCTTAGTAAACAGAAATATTCTTATTTCTAAATTTCGATTTGTCGTTTTTGCACTTACATTTAGTGAAAAAATTCTCTCCGTGTATAAATACGGATATGAGTGAGCAACTTGAAGAGATTAACTTCAAATTTCAATACAAAATGTTTCATCGATGTGACATCGAAAAAATTTCAGGGTATCGCAAATATATATCATATCAGGAGCAATTAAACATATAAATTACGACTTATGGAAAATTGGAAAATAGTGACTTTTTAAGA